AGAAGATGCTGTTTTGGGTATATAGATGCATTGAGTATTTATCTCGAGCAAAGTTGGTCAGGTGAGCTGATGAGTTTCATCATTAGGATCGAGATGGTTATCCACGGGAGCTAATCACGTGGTGATTGGGGGGGGCACAAGAAAGGGAAGATCATGAAGACGTAATCTAGATCTCTCTCCAGGGGACATGGAAAAGAATACCCAACAGACAAGTCAGATAATATCCACTTTCAGTGTCAATATTAGGAAGTGCTGCTGCGAGACCGCACATGTGTCATGCCCAAAGCGTTGACGAAACAGGAAGGTGGATGATGTAAGTGAGCTTACTTTTCCCTGCGGCAGTTTGGAGTTCAACAAAAATATCCGGGGAAATGGAGTTTGTTGCGGGTCCAAGACAGATTCTGGATTTGCACGCGCGCCTGTCGATCATTGACTGACAGGGAAGGAAGGGGGGCGACAAGACCTCGGGTTAGTCCGCCGAAGTAGGAGGAGGGAAAAGGTTAAGAGTAACGTTGTGGGTTTGGGAATGTGCGTGTGTGTGTGTGTGTGTGTGTGACCGGGTACTGGGAGGAGGAGGAGAGATCGGCGTGGTATATAAAGTCGGGTGTGTGACCCTCGCACAGAATGCTTGCTCGCATGGTTTTGGTTTTTGCGTCACCTTTTTTGTGTTTCTGTTCGGTCGGTGCAAGTCAACGGTTCGCCGTTGGTTGGAGTTTAGGACTTAGTCTGTTCAATCAAGTCCGCTTGACTCGACTGTGAGGTGCTCATTCTATCGTCATTGACGATAAAGTTCAAAATGGCGTCTCAACCTCAAGGTGACACTTACCTCTCACCCACCGTGTTCCTCACGATAACCTCACTAACACCTCGTCAGTCCCTCCACCAGGGCCACCACACCAAGATGAAGAAAAGGCCGCTCACCGTCACCACACCGGCTCCTCCTCCTCCTCCTCTCTAGGCATCACCCCCACCGCTCCCGCCCCCGTCATCTGTCCCTCTCACACCACCCCCCGCAGGCTGACAACCAAAATCGACCTCCACCTCGTCCCCTTCGTCATCATCCTCTACCTCATGGCCTTCCTCGACCGCGTCAACATCGCCAACGCCCCGCGCCTTCGGCCTCGAAACCGACCTGGGCCTGTCGGGAACACAATTCAACACCGCACTCACAATCTTCTTCGTCCCTTACATCCTCTTTGAAATCCCC